CAAATAGTAAATCATATTAAAAATTAAATTAAAACCCAGATGGTATCCGGGCTGGCCATTTGCAAGCTATTTTGTCCTTCTGGAACTTTTAGCATTGGTCCAGGCCCCTGCCACCATGGCAGAGGCGGTGTGGGCCCAGGGGGCTGGAAGTCCAGGGAGTGAAGGAGCCCCTCGACCTCCAGACATCACCTGCCCCTCGTATATGCACAGCAGGAACGTAGGGCCTGGCCATGCTCGGCCCTTTCAGGCATCCAGCAACACCGCAGCTGCCCCCTTTAGCCGCTGCATCAGCGGCTGCAGGGTCCCTGCAAGGAGAGAACCCCCAGTGGCCAAAGAAACTCTGCTGCCTTCCCACTGCAGAGGCCAGTGGGAGAGGCCAGCTGGCGAGGTGAGCCGTGGACAGCATGGCATGCCCCGGGGACATGGGTGGGCACCGCTGCTCTAACCCAGTGAGGGATCTTCTCCAATAGGGGCTTTTCTCAGCCTTTGAAAGTGCCCTATAAATAGGCAACTGGAGGAAACTTAGTTGCACCAGTTCCGTCCTGGGCGGCAGGAACACCCGGCAGGGCCACACGGCTGGCCGAGTTTCCCACGAAGGCCAGTGCCTGCTTTCCTGGATGGTGCTGATGGGGCCAACCTGCCATGACCTCCTTGGAGTGGGGAGGGGCTCCAGCTCAGAGCCAGAGCCCCTGCTCGCTGTGGGGAGAGTCCCAGCAAAGATCCTTGGCCACCTACCTGGGCCAGGCTGGGAGAGACAGCTACACCTGAAACTGGAAAAGCCATGGCTGCCGGGCCATGCAAGTCGTGGTGGGCAAGGAGGGCTGAGGAAGGCCTGGATCCCTCCAAGCTGCTTCCCAGTCCCCTGCCGCCAAAGCCCCCGAGAGGCGGGGTGGGGGGCAGGGGCACTGTGCTGGTGCCCTTTAGTAGGAGGTGACTGAGCAAGTTTCCCTCTTGGCTTGTTCAGAGCCTCTCCCCGCTTTCCCAGGCCAGAGCAGTGATGCAATGCAACCCCCCCTCCCCGCGCTCTGCCTCCTGGATGTGCCTTGTGGCTCCCAGACAGCTGCTGCCATGGAGAAGCTGCTTCTTCTCATCTGCAGCAGGAGCAGCCACTACACCGGGGTGAGCGCAGGCTGGCAGGGAATCCTCCTGTAGGCCTCCTGGGCGGCTGAGCAGAGTGGGAGTCTGAGGCAGACGAACTGCAGAGCAGGCCCCGGCTCCAGCCCGACGGGTTTAGGGAGTGCCAGGCAGGTGCTTGCAACATGGCAGCACAGGAAGCAAAGTGCAGCAGAGGGAGCTCTCCGGATCTCGGCAGGGAGGTGGCAGCAGCCGCCCGCCGCCTGGAAGGGGCCTGACAGATGCTTTGCACACTGTTTCTCTGCGGCAGAAGGGAAGGCTGTCCACGTCGGGAAAGGGGCATGGGAGTGCGCGTGTGATCATGTGGACATGCGCTTTCTATGGGCACAGGAGGGCTGCTCCTACCCGTCTCTGTGGCAGCCGAGTCCCCCTTTTCTCTTATGAGGCACTGGCTGGCCCTGCTCATGCAGCGCCAGGAACTGTGGATCTGCAGCCTGAGTCCTCTGGGCAGTGATCCGTGTCCCTGCAAAAGCACCCCTTGCCCCATTTCCCCACCTGGCCAGAGATTCCGGGGCACCACGGCCATGTGGCTGCCTTTGCATGAGGGGTGACGCCGTGAGCTGCAGCATGTCTCGGTGCAGTTCTGTGACAGAAGGAATCCCGGAGCTGGAAGGGCTGACACCCACAGCCTGCGCAGAGGATGCCAGCCCCAGGAGCAGGTGCACAGAGCGCTTGCTGCAGGCACATGCTTCTCCAACAGGTGCTGTGCGCATCATGGAGCGGTCCGAGCAAGAGATCCTACACGAGGAGGGCCTGCAGAGGCAGCTGGCTGGGATCGGCTGCTCCACCAGCAATGCCAAGTGGGCCGTCGCAGCAGTGTGTGTGGGGGGGGGGGGGAGCAATGCCACCCAGGCTGCCCCCACGCTCGGCAGCAGCCCTGCACAGCCTGCCCCTCGGCACGCTGCAATGGGGGGGCAGTGGCTCCTGGGGCTCTTTGGAGCATGCCCCTGAGGTTCGACTGGCAACAGCAGGTTGCCAGGCCTGAGAGGTGTGCAAGGACTTGCCTGCGAGTGCCCCCGCACCCGTGGGGTTCACTGGCCAGTGCCGCCCGGCCCCACACTCCGCCATGCAGGCTTTGCACCAACAGCAGCCGGCTGGGGTCCCGCGTGCCCCGCCAGCCATTCAGACCTGCACGCCTAGAGCCAGAGAGGCTGCGGCAGTGGGGCCCAGCCCCAGAAGCCACCTCCTGCTCCCACCGCAGTTGCGAGCCCGTGAGCACATGCAGAGTGCCCACGAACCCAGCACCACACGGCTGTGAGGCCCGAGCAGGAGCAGCTCCTTCCTGCTCCTTGGGACACCCCGCCGAGCTCCGACCGCCCCCTCCAGGCCCTCCTGGCACTCGCAAGTGCGGCCGCCCACCCGCCCACCGGCGCCTCCTCGCGAATCCGGCCCGCAGCTCCGGCCTACGTGGGGAGCGTCCCGCCGGTGCGCCGAAAGCTTGGACGAGGAGGGAGCGGGGGAAGTCGGCGTGGGGGCGGCCTGCTCCGCCGGCCCGGGCAGATCCGCGGGGAGCAGGGCCTGCCTGCCTGCCTGGCGCTCCGTCGGGCCCGGGGCGCGGGAGCCGCGCGGCGCCTCCCAGCCTGGAGCAGCGGCAGGAGCCGGTCCGCCGCGCCCTCCAGGGCCAGCGAGGGCTGCCAGGGGTCTGTGGCGCGTCCGCCGGAGAGGCTGCTGGGCCGGCCTGCTTCGCGGACAGGAGCAGCGAGGGGCCCCGCGGGGACGTGCCTCCCTCAGCAGGGCCTTCGCGGCGGCCGCGGGGCACAGGCCGGGCGAGGCCCCCCGAAGCGCCGGCGGAGGGCCCGCAGCAAGCGGAGGTAGTCGGCGGCGTGCGTGGCTTGGCCGCTGCATGCGCCCCGCCTCGAAGGCGCGACGGGGCACCGGCGCGTCGGAAGAGTCGGGCTGCTCCTGCCTGCTCGCCCCTGCAGGCAGTCCGACCGTCCGGCCGCCAGGCCGCCGCGCAGCCTGCGCAAGCAGCCCGCCTCAAGCCGGCGCGGGGGCGCTCCCTGCCCGCCTTTCGAGCGAGCAGCGTCCAGAGGTTCGCTGGACCAAGCGGGGCTGCGGAAGCGCGGCCAGGGCTGCCCGGCCGCTCCCGTCGGCCCCTCTCCTCCCCGCCGCCCTGCCTGCAGCGCCCTGCAGAATTTCCCGGGCAGGCCGGCACTCTCCGTCCCTCGGAAGACCCTCTGCCCCGGCGGCGGCGGAGCAGCGGGGCGCGCCAGCCTCCGCCCTTCATGTGCTCAGCAAGAGGGCAGAGGTGTCACTCGGAGGGCCAGGAAGTGCCCGTCCCGGAGGACACTGCCGCCTTCTGCGTGAGGGAGGGCCGCCCTCGGGAGCGGCTTCTGCTGCTCCGCAGCGCTGCCGGACCTGTTCCTTCCCGGGCAATTCCGGGCAGGGAGCCTGCAGAAGCAGTCGCGCTCCAGGCCCAGGATCGCTAAGCGAGCCGTCCAAGGCACGTGCTCCACGGGGCCAGATCTTCGTCCTGCTCGCGATTCTCCGTAGACGGCAGCTTGTGGCGATGAGAGCCCGAGCCTGCGCCAGGATCCTGCGAGGGTTTCCCCCGCGATCGCTCTCCTTCCTGTGGGGCAGACAGAAGACATGCTCCCGCCGCCGCGACACACGTCACCCGTGATGCAGCAGGACTGCTGGTGGCCCGGCCGGCACCCCTGGAGGCGGCGCGGGGCGTCTGAGCCGCGGGGAGCCGCGCACATGCCGGCGCGCACCGCGGGGGCAGGCTGCTCCTGCTGCCACTCCCCCTGTTCTGCCAGGCCACGGCGTCGGGCTGCTCTCGGAGCGGCGCCACAGCAGAGTGGGCGCGGCGTCTCTGCCCGCCAGCCTCTGTCCCATGCCGAGCGAACAGCGGCCCCCGCCTCGCCCATTTCTGGAGGCGCTCGTCGTATCTTCCTCGAGGAATCAGGCAGGAAACCAGGAGCAGGAAGCAGCGCAGGCGCGTCCGCCGTTCTGCCGCAGGCTCAAGCTGCCGCCCCACCGAGCTCTGAATGGCGCATTCACACAACGGACTTAGGATCTCGGTTTCAGAATGCGGCGAGCAACGCGGTGCGTCCAACAGAAACCGCAAAAGCGCGTCAAGTTCTTCCTCTCCGGGTGCTGAGTCCGGGGTCGCCACGGAGGCTTCCCGGGACAGGAGACCTGCCGGGAAGAAGACAGAGGCATGAAGAAAACCGGGGAGCGTTTCTCGCGTCCTCCCCGCGCATGCCACCCACCCGCGATGCGCTCCCTTCGAGTCTATACCGGAATCCGGAGGCCACGAAGCCGACACACGGGCGCGCGCACCCCTCGACCTTCGGAAAGGGCCTGCTAAGCGGGTCGGCGGAAAGGCAGTTAGCCCCGCCCGGAGGGCACGAGATAGGCGCCGAGGAGCAGCAGCGCCGGCGCCGT